CTCACCTGCCACCTCTCTCCGGCGTGTGTGCACTGTTTCGGCCACCTTTTCCGGCCAAACCAAGGCAGACAGGCTCGCCTCTGCCTCCTCCTTCCAGATCCGGTGCCCGTTCGTTGTGGGTCTCTTCCGTTCGGGGGTTTCCAGTGCAAAAGTTGCTACTTTGTTTCCTTTTTCGCGTGACTTTTACCGTTTTTTGGTCATCTGATTGCTGTTTCTGATGGAAGGAACCAGTAAACATCCTTCCGGCATCATTTCAAGTGCTATTCCATCTATCACAACTCTGAAATTGACCGGATCTGCCACTTACAAGACCTGGTCTACCTCCGTTAAGATCTGGTTTACCGGTCAGGGCCATGACAAACATCTCACCACTAAGACGACTGATATTTCCAAAGATCAGACGTCTGAATGGGAGAAAGTTGATGCTCAGCTCCTCAGTATTCTTTGTCAATCCATTGATTCATCTCTTATCAATATTTTCATTCCCTTTGGAACCTGCTATGATGTGTGGACGGAAGCCAAAAACCTCTACACCAATGATATTCAGCAACTTTATTCCATTGTCTCCCAGATGATGGATTTGCGCAAATCACCTGAAGCTCGTATGGAAGTTTATGTTGGTAAGATTCGTTCTTTGATGCAGGAATTTTTGGCTATGTTACCTTATGCTGCGGATGCTACAGTGTACAAGGACGCAAGTGGAGCTTCTCTTTACGGTTGTGACTCTCTCTGGTCTCCCTGACGGATTAGAAAGTGTTTGTGAGAACATTCTAACCAGTACTGAGATTCCCAGCAAATCCCAGACCTTTCAGCGCCTTCTGAATCTTCAAGATAAGGTGGCCCCCGCACACGTGCCAGCTACTGACTCTACTGCTCTCTCGTCTGATTCTGCTGCTTTAGTCTCTCGTGGTAATTGGAACAATGGTGGACGCGGTCGTGGTCGTGACCGCGGACAAGGCGGTCGCGGGCCCATGACATCATATGGCCCAGGCGAGCGCGGACAAACGACGTCATATGGACAGGGTGGCCGAGGACAAAGGCCTCGGTGTAGTTATTGCCAAAATCTGGGCCACATTGAAGAACGTTGCTACAGAAAGTACCCTCACTTGAAGCCACCACATATGAACTTTGCTCAAACAGATGTTGTGCCGCTCTCTACCGGATCAGTGACTATTTCCGCTGCAGACTATGAGGCCCTTCTCCAGAAGAGTTCTTCTCAGCCACCTGCTCCAGATACTGGTAATCATGTTGCTTGTTTTTCTCAATCGTCTCTTGGACCCTGGATAATAGACTCAGGTGCTACTGATCATCTTTGTGGTAATAAGGATCTTTTTACTTCCCTTACCTTTTCTAATAATTTTCCCTCTGTTACTCTTGCTGATGGCACCAAGGCTCCTGCTCGTGGCATTAGGCAAGCCAAACCAACTCCCTTCTTGACTTTAACCTCTGTTTATTACATCCCTGACATTCCTTTTAATTTAATTTCTGTTAGTCAATTGACCCATTCTCTTTCTTGCTCTATCACCTTTTCTAAAAAGTCTTTTTCTTGCAGGATCCGGGTACGGGGAAGACGATTGGAGCGGGCAGTGAGTCACGAGGTCTCTACTATCTGCATGCACCCTCTGCTGCAGTTGCATGCTCTCTCACAGAGTCTCCTGAGCTTCTCCATAGCCGTCTGGGTCATCCAAGTCTCTCGAAGCTTCAACATATGGTTCCTTTTTTGTCAGGTCTTAAGTCTTTGAATTGTCAATCTTGTCAGCAGGGAAAGCATACTCGCTCTTCCTTTGCTAGTAGAGTCAATAAGAGAGCTGCTGCTCCCTTTTCTATTGTTCATTCTGATATTTGGGGTCCGAGTCGGACTATGTCAGTTTTGGGTTTTCAGTATTTTGTAACCTTTATTAATGATTTCTCCTGTTGCACTTGGGTTTATTTAATGAAAAATCGTTATGAGTTATTCTCAATTTATCAAAAGTTTTGTGCAGAAATAAAAACTCAATTTGGTGCTTCTATTCATCAAATCTTGCGCAGTGATAATGCAAAAGAGTATGTGTCTCTTGAATTTTCCAAATTTCTGGATTCACATGGGACGATACACCAGACTACCTGTCCCCACACTCCACAACAAAATGGAGTCGCTGAACGTAAAAGTAGACATCTAGTTGAAACTGCACGTACCCTTCTCATTCATATGAACGTCCCACTCCGTTTTTGGGCAGATGCTATTATCACCTCATGTTTCCTTATCAACCGCATGCCCTCTTATGTGCTAAATAATGATGTTCCCCACAGTATTTTGTTTTCCGAAGCACCTTCTTATCCTCTGCCTTTACATATTTTTGGCTGTACTTGTTTTGTTACTGATCTTACTCCAGGTAAAGACAAGTTGACATCCAAGGCCTTCAAATGTATTTTCCTTGGATATATACGTTTTCAAAAAGGGTATCGTTGCTATTCTCCTGATCTCAAGCGTTATATCGTTTCTGCTTATGCCACTTTCCTTGATCAACAGCCTTTTCACTCTACTCCGTCTCCAGTCTCACAGGTTGATCAGGTCCTTCCTGTTCCTTTTCTTGACTTGTCTTTACCAGCTGCAGGTGACCCTATTCCAGAGGAGCAACCCATTACCTCCATACCTGCAGATCGTCCTCTCCTCACATACCAGCGTCGTCAGCCTGCACCTCCTCCGACTTTGCCTCTTGATGACTCATCGCCCTTTCCCGTCGGCTCTTCTCCTCCGGATCCTCCATCAGAGACTCCTCCCATTGCCCTTCGGAAAGGTATTCGATCCACTCGAAATCCTCATCCCCTTTATTCTTTCTTGAGTTATGACAGACTTTCTTCACAACATTTTACTTTTGTTTCTAGTCTCTCTTTTGTTTCCATCCCTAAAACCACAGGTGAAGCACTATCTCATCCAGGGTGGCGCCAGGAGATGCTTGATGAAATGCAGGCGCTTCACTCCAATGGCACTACGGGTCTTGTTCGTGCTCCTCCCGAGAAATCTATTGTTGGTTGTCGATGGGTGTTCACAGTTAAAGTTGGTCCTGATGGCACTGTTGATCGCCTTAAAGCTCGCTTAGTGGCTAAGGGATACACACAGATCTTTGGTCTTGATTATGGAGATATCTTTTCTCCTGTTGCTAAGATGGCTTATGTTCGCCTGTTTCTTGCCCTTGCCGCCATTTATCACTGGCCCCTTCTCCAACTTGATATTAAGAATACTTTTCTACATGGTGACTCGTAGGAGGAAGTTTATATGGAGCAACCACCAGGTTTTGTTACTCAGGGGGAGAGTTCTGGAATGGTATGTAAACTTCGGAAATCTTTATATGGCCTGAAGCATTCTCCTCGGGCCTGGTTTAGCCGCTTTAGTTCAGTTGTTGAATCCTTTGGCTTAATCAGAAGCAAAGCCGATCATTCTGTCTTTTACCGGCATAGCTCTTCTGGCCAGTGCGTTTATCTCCTGGTCTATGTTGATGACATTATCATTACAGGCAGCGATCAGACCGAGATTGTTTAGTTGAAAGAGCATTTATTCAATCAATTTCAGACCAAAGATCTTGGCAGACTTCGATATTTCTTGGGGATCGAAGTTGCACAGTCTAGGCAGGGCATTTCCATCTGTCAGAGGAAGTATGCACTGGATATCCTAGATGAGATTGGCATGTTAGGCTGTAAACCCATTGATACACCTATGGACCCCAATGTTAAGTTATTACCAGGACAGGGGGAGCCACTGCCAGATCCTAGTCGCTACCGCCGACTAGTTGGAAAATTGAATTATCTTACTGTGACAAGGCCAGATATCTCCTTCGCAGTGAGTGTTGCAAGTCAATTTCTTGATTCTCCCTGTGACTCCCATTGGGATGCAGTTATTAGAATTTTCCGATATATTAAAAAGGCGCCAGGAAGAGGTTTATTATACACAAATAAAGGGAGTTCAGAGATCTCTAATTATTCAGATGCTGACTGGGCAGGTTCTCCTTCAGATAGACGATCCACCTCAGGGTATTGTGTTCTCTTCGGAGGAAATTTGATCTCTTGGAAGAGTAAGAAGCAAACTGTGGTCGCCAGATCCAGTGCGGAGGCAGAATATCGGGCAATGGCAAATGCAAACTGTGAGCTCATCTGGCTGAGACAATTGCTTAAAGAACTCCATCTCTGTGAACAAAGGCCTATGAAGCTCATTTGTGACAATCAAGCCGCTTTGCATATATCCTCTAACCCAGTATTTCATGAGAGGACCAAGCATATAGAAATTGACTGTCATTTTGTTAGAGAAAAGATCCAGTCAGGGGAGATCGAGACAGCATTTGTCAATTTCAATGATCAACTTGCGGATGTATTCACTAAAGCTTTTAGAGGTCCCCGAATAGATCATATTTGTAACAAGCTTGGAGCTTTTGATATATATGCACCAGCTTGAGGGGGAGTGTTAGAAATAATATTAGTCTATTATTATTAGATTAGTCTAGATTGTGGGCTTAGCCCATTAGGTCTTTTAGCATTAGGTCTTTTAGTCTCTATAAATAGAGAGCCTTCTTGTACAGTTATACACACTTGAATATACAATAATATTCAGATTCAATTGATATATTAATGGTTTTTATATATCTCTTACACTTTGTGAGGACTTGGGAGGAGAATTTTGGGTTGAATAGCCGTTCAAATCATGATGGAATGGTAAGAATTATAACTTTATTATTATTGTATAAAGCATTTTCATCCCGTACCACCTACTTGGGAGAAAGAAAAATACATGTATTCCAATACATGTATTGGATGGAATGGAATGGAGTATTCCATTCAGGTTTCGTTTCATTCCATCCTATTTAATGCAATCTAAACAATAGTAGTTAATTTTATTCCATTCCTTTCCATCAATTCAAACATAGTCTAAAGGTCTTCTTTGCCTTGAATGTGCTTTACGTAATATTCATGTTATGAAACACTGGGAAGTGGAACTATGTTACGGTGAAGTCAAGTAACAGGTTGGGAGGATGTATTACGAAGGGCTCGCCCTTCAAGGTTTATTCACTGAAGAAATATAAGGAGCTGTAAAGTTATGCTGAGAATATTCCGGAAAGGGGGTTCAACAGAATTCAGTTAGGGGTTTGGAATGTGGCGGGAACAATGGAGGATAAGTAGAGACAGCATGGAAGGGTCTGATCATCTGGAATTTTTGGGCTTGGGATTGGAACTTGGGAGAGACCAGTTACCTCTCTAATTGCTCTAGGTTATCTTTTCATTTCAGTTCTTTCATTTTTGCAATCTGTATTTTTTTGTAAAGGCTGTTTAGTCTCTGACTATTGTAACTCCACTGGATTCTCGTTGAATCAGTGCTTGTAAATTCCAATTTCTCTGTTGTTTGTTATTTTCCCTTAGTTCCTTGTTGGTTCCTATCTAACAACTTACTAATAATTTTATTGGACTGCCCTAACATCATGGACTATTTATTATCAGGAAATTTCTGTTTTCAGTTGTGATTCATCTGGTTCATGTTCCAATTACAATTTCTTCAGAGACATAGCAGATAGAAGATTGACCGAGTGCATTGACAATATTATATCAGAGTACCTTTCTTTTGGTGATCCTGAGTCTTGTTGTGAGAAGCTTGAAAAGATGCTTATGCAAGGTCTAAATGAGCAGTTAGAAGGCATTGAAGGAAAATCATATTCTAAATTCAGGCTGCATCCCCTACATTACCTCTCTCTAAATGCCTACACAACACTGGCTTCAGCATATAAAGTTCGTGCTAGTGATTTCTTGTCTGTTGATTCTGGAATATTAGATGTAAAGCAGTTACAAGCTTTTGACATGAGGAGAACCAGTGCTGCATATTCTTTGTTACTTGCAGGCGCAACTCATCATCTCTTCAACTCTGAATCCTCACTGATTGCATCTGTAGCAAATTTTTGGACAGGTGCTGGCGAATCTTTGTTATCTCTTACCAGAAAGTTTGTTAAATTGGGTCTGGTTGTTTCAAACCTTGCTTCTGTCACGAAGTTCAAATGCTCTAATTGTTCATTAGTTGATGGATTTAGAGCCTGTATATCAAATGGTCAAATCAGAAGTGCAGATTTTGAGAATGTATCAAATGATTTTCTTAATTGTGTCTCATACACTACACAGAAAGTTTGGAGTTTCCTTGTCCATGATTGCCATTTTTTGAGATCATGTAAAAATCCTATCGATTTCAGCTGGTTAATGTCTACCAAAAATTCCAGTACAGTTGATGTTGGGGCTCATGTTAACAAAACTGAAACGTGTTACACTCATGAATCTAAGAATAGCTTATGTATTTGTGAAGAGCAAGATTACACTGATCGCGCAATAGTACACACTTTTCAGCTCGGAGTACACTGCTTATCATATGGAGGATTATTGGCTAGTATATGTTATGGTCCCCATTCCCATTTGGCTTGTCATGTTCAAAATATTTTAGATCATGAAAAGAATTTTGGATTATATTTTCATGAATTTTGAGAGATCATGTGTGACACCTTGTGAAAAATCTTCTTTGTGCGAATATGAATTCAGAATTTTTAACCTTATAGGTTGATACCTGACGGTGGTTGAAGTATCAAGATGAAGTTGATATGGATTTTTATTGGTAGGGTTCATTTTGGGTGCCCAGAAGCTTGATGAAAAAGTAAGGGAGATAGTTGGACGTGCAGCTTATTTACAAGTATCACAGTGAGCACAAATGGAGGACTTGGCCTTATATAACCATTGAAAGCAGTGACCAAAAGAATTGTGATAAGGGAGACTTTGGAGGATAATTTTCTTCTACTTTTCATTTTTTATTCGATCCTTTACAAACTGCTTTACAACAAAAACCAGGAAGAATGATTTTGGCATAAAGAAAAGGAACTAATTCAAGGATATGGGTAGAGCCAAAATAATAAAAAATAGAATGGTGCTGAGACTTTTGAGGTCTGAAGGAGTGGTTCAATATATATAATGAAAGATTGAACTAAAATTAAATTTAATAAAGAAAAGTATAGAGCAAATGGGAAGCTAGATGGGTAACAATGCAGGGGACTTGTATTCCATGGAGATGACACCTTATTTTTTGGCGCAATGGCTTAGGATTTGCCCCTTGGATGGCTACTTTTTTAGATTTTTGTTCAATTTTTTAGTTTAGTGCCAATTGTATGAGTGTGTTCAAATTCTCTAAACCTAGCATTTTGCATACCAAAGTACAATTTTTATAATTGATGGGACAATAAAAGAAAAAATTAACGGTTTAAATTTGACAAATACTAACACGGGTAAAAAAAAAATTATGAATTTGATTAAATCTACTAAAGAATCACACTATTTTTATTTATTATTGATTATCATGGACTTGCATATTTTTTTTTAAAAAAAAAAATAAACATGCATCAGGGATGAGGCATTTCATGTGCAACCTCACCCAACACAAGTTTATACGTTTTATTATTGGGAATAACATCTATCCTTTTAAAGGATATAGATTTATATCCTTTTAGATCTTAACCGTTGATTTCCGTCTATCAACGGTTATATTATTTTCCATCCCCTAATTTGTTGTCACGAAAATGGTCAACACTTGGTAAAGAGCTCATGGATGTGGGAATTTTCGTGCGTAGAAAAATCAGGACAAGTCATTAGAATTGGAAAGTAGTTTAACTGATGAATTAGAGGCCAATGAAATGAATTTGGCGCTTGAGGTCATGTGGTGTGGAACAGTGATTATTTTTCCATGCTTCACCAAATTATTTACCAGACTGTCATGGCATAATTCGCTACACTGTGCAGCGAATTATGCAAATAATTCGCTGCACAGTGTAGCGAAATATGCCATGTCAGGCTGCACAGTCAGCAGTAATGACACATGTCAAGTAGGCAGCAATACAAGCATAATTCGCTACATAGTGTAGCGAATTACTTCCAGCTTGACACGTGTCATTTTTGCTGATTGTGCAGCCTGACATGGCATATTTCGTTACACTGTGTAGCGAATTATTTGCAAACATAATTCATTGCACATTGTAGCGAATTATGCCACGTGACATTTCGAAAAATTTTAATGTTGACGTAACAGTCTGGTAAATAATTTGGTGAAGCGTAGTAAAATGGTCGCTCTCCCCATGCGGTGTTCCCTGCTCCATCTCTAATGATTCCATCCCCTTCCACCCTCTCCCATTTCATAATCATTGTGGGCAAAGCTAACTCCCTTTACAACCGGTCAACCCACCCGCACTAAGTCCAATCCAAGTCAAGGCTTTAAGCCTAACTCTACATGGGCCAAGCTAAAAGTTCTTGAGGACAAAAAATCATCAAAGACAAAAGCTTACGTAGACCAAAGGTCCACAAAGCCATGTGCCAATTTATGGATATTCCAAAACTTTAATATGTTATAATTTTCAAAATAAAAAGAAACTAAAAAAAATATCGTATTATGCTTTTCCTTTTTTTCATCTATAATTTATGTAATCATTTAAATGATAATACAGTTTATTTTACTTAGATTAAGTTTTTTCTTATAAAACAATTAATATAATAATATCAATTAGCTTAAGACTTATAATGAATAAACAATATTGTTGCTAAATCGAAAAGGTTAAAATAAAATAAAATGTGAACACACTATTCCACTTAATGAAGACACAAATCCGGTCAAAGTTGGTGCATTGAACAATGGGAGATACATTTCCAAAATTAAATGCAGCAGATGCCTGGCTTTGCAGATTTAGTATAAGATAAACAACATATAGTGAAAGATGAATACAAACGTCCATCCTTGGATGCAAGGTTCCCCTAGAACTGTCAAACATAGACCATGTTAAGAATGGTACGCACAAAATCTTTGCAAAGGATTCTTGAACCAAAGGATAAATGATAAATCACAATAAATGAACCGACACCACATCTTAATTTTTTGTATTTATATAGTTATCACTTGGTTCATGTTTAATAGATGGAGATTTCATTATTGTAAACACTCTGTTCATGAATCTGTTTGTTAACATACATTATGACATTAAGCGCATCACAATAGTCAAATAAACGGAAGCAGGATATAAACGTATCACTGTTACCCAAGATTAATTTCAAGTTCAATAACAGTGTTTGATGAAAGTTGACAAGAAGATGTAAGTATGCACGTAAGATCAATAATGGTAAAGAAATGCTTTGAATTCTGTTTTTTTTTTTTTTTTTTTTTGAGACTAGCATGTAATGTTTGTAGGCATATTTCTTATTTTTTTATGGATTAGCTTTCAATATGAATAAAAAAAATACCGAGTAAAATATAGATTCATGAGAATGTATTAAATTAAGTAATAATAAGTTAAAAAAAAGAATTATTGTAATTATGAACCCGTGTGATATTTTTATTTTAGGTTGCTTTTATAAAAAATGTTTGAGTTTTCGTTATTTCACATTATTTAAAATGTAGTTTTGTTATCGCTTAATAAAAAATGTTGTGTTATAAACATTTTTTTTTATTATACCGACCATAATTATCTCTTTGAGGTGACTTGACTCCTCAGATATCACCGCAAGCTCCATCTCTTTGAGTAAGTTATGAGACTAATTCCAAGTCGGAATTTAGTGATAGTTAAAGCTCTTCGTCCCTCTCCAATGATGTATTTGGTACACTACTAGAAAATTGCCTTTTTGCGACGGGCATTTTCCGTCACAAAACTGGCAATTTCGGTCACAACCACCATTTGCGACGGAATTTGCAACTGAAAAAAGCCGTCGTGAAAAACCTACTCGCAAACAAAGTTTGCGACGGAATTTTCTTGTTATGGATTCCGTCACAAATTGCAACCGAATAAACCCGTCCCAAAATACTTATTTTCCATCGCAAAATGCAGACATGAATACTGACAACACCGTCACACAATGCAACGGAATTTCCATCGCAAATTATCCGTCACAAAGTAAATGGGAAAGAACCCATCGCAAAGTTTGTGATGGAAATATAGTACAACACCGTCACAAATTTTCGATGGTTTTTTAAAAATCCCATCACAAATCTAGATGTAATGCCGTCGTAAAAAATTCAGTCCATAGTCTAATACAAAAATCGTCCCAAATTTGCGATGGAATAATGAAAAATACCATCGCAAACTTTGCTATGGAATGTGAATACCGTCACAATAATCTGCAGATTTGCGATGGAATATCCATAAATCTCCGTCACAAAATTATAAAAATTAAAAAAAAATATTTAAATTAATAAATTTTCAAACCTGGAAACAGTACAACCAAAACAAAAATATTTTGTCTCATTGAAATGAAATAACTAACAACTTATAATCTATACAAACTAACAAATTACAATCCCATACAACCTACAATTATAATCCCATACAAACTAACAAATTATAATCTCATACACACCAACACTATAATTCCGTACAAACTAACATTATAATCTCATACAATTAGAAAAATGTATCAATAAAGGTAGTCATAAACTAAAGTTTCAAATACATCATGAAGTATGGGTGTTGGATGGGGATGAGGATGGGGATGAGAATGAGGATGGGGATAGGGATGAGGATGAGGAGTCTACAGTCTGCTTCTTCTTTTCTTTCTTCTTCTCCATTTTGTTCAGTAATTTCTGCAACAGATTATCCGTTTTTTTTCTGTTTCTCCTTTTGCTGCTGCAATTCGGCATCCATTTTTTCCCTTTGCTCCTTTTGCTGCTGCAATTCTGCCTCCAATTTAGCAGTCACTGCTTGCATTCTGGCAAGCTCATCTGCAATAATAAGAACATATGCTTAGGTCAATTGTTTTGTACTTAAATTAAATGGACTAGGGAGTGAAATTTTGAAACAATTAACTATAAATGCCTTTACCTTCGGAAACACTTGGAAGTTGTTTAGAGGGGCGCTTGGTACTCTTGAAGCTGCTAGCAGATGCTCCCAGTCCAAAAATTCTTCCTTTTTTATTAAATGGCTCAGTCGCCTTAATAAAGAGTTCATTGCTATCGACCTGAGAGGAGGCGGTTCCATCGTCTGTCACCTGTGTTTGTGTCTCCTCCTGGAGCTTTTGGAATCCTTCCTACAAGCCAAAAAAAACAAAATATTAATAAACATGAAGTGAATCAAACTCTAATAAATCAAACAAAAACGAAGTAACTAATAATTCACCGCTATTTGTCTGGATGTGTTGTAATCCACTGTCGAGTCCCTGCTTCAGGCTCTTGTGTGTGGGTCCTCTGAAATGTAGCAAACTCAACCCGATCTGGGGGAACCTCCCCAGAAGCTAGCTACAAATAAAAATTGGCATCATTAATTAATTACAAGTGCAAATTATAGAATACCATAAAAAGTAATGCATACTTACAATTCTTCTTTTATGCTCGGAGTACGAAATGCAGCCGCCAGCATAAGTTCCTTCTCCCATGTGCGCCCTATTCTGCTTGTTTCGGGCAGACCTCGCCTAAAAGCTCTCATTTAGTGCCCAGTTTTCCAACAATTGACGCTTAGCTTCAGAATTAGACCAAGAGCTATCACCAATGCCATACCTCAATTTGTGCATTTTGTTAGCATAACATTTGCCAACCTTATGTTTAAAAGCAGCTATCAAATCG